CTCCCACCAACAGGGCCCATGAGACGCGGCGATCAGCAGGTAAAAAAAACTTTCCCTGCGGACCAAGACTCGGATTTACGGAGTAAAAATTTCTCAATTGTTCCGTACGGTGTGAAAAACATCCTCTGTCAGCCTTCTTTCGTTATTAACAAAAAAATAAGGTTCGATCGGTAAAATAGGTTTACTTGTAAACATTTGTATTATAGTTTAAGTTCATTTCCTAATATCAATGTATTTCGACAGAATTTGTTGTGGTATCATGTGTCTACCATACCCCAAAATTTTTAATGTTTATAATTATAATCAAAAATTCTACCTTATTTACTATTTATAGCGTTCTGCTATATCACTCTACTATTATTAAAGATATCTAAAAATACATTAATTTTGAACATCCGATTTTCAATTGTTTCCGTCGCGTGGCAAGACGTGAAAATAAATCATTATTACTTGATATGCTGCAATGCACATGACCGTCGTACCCTGTGCCTACTATACTCCAGCTGTGCACAGTTCAGTGGCACATTTCAGACTGTGGTCATTGTGTACAGTACAGACTACAGCCACTGTGCACAGGACAGACTAGATTAACTTTGTACAGTATAAACTGTGGTCACTGTGCGCAGTATATAGTCAATAGTCACTGGGCACATTACAGACTATGGTCACAGTGAGTACATTACAGACTATATATAATCGGTGCGATTATTGTAGATAATGGTCGCAATGCGCAGTACAGTGTTTTTGTTGAGTATGGTATTTGAGCGAATGTGAAGACTACAAATTTTGTGCACATTAAAAAATTTTTTCGCACAGCACACACACCAGACACTCTGTACATAACAGAGTATGTTCGCTGTGCTCATTACAGATCGATGACAAACGTAGTGCACACTACAGACACGAGTCGTAGTGTGCTATGCTGACTATGATCGCTGCCCACACTGCCGACATATGTGCGTATGTCCACTGCCCAAATGCCACGACAGAAGCCATGACATAAATGTCAGTCAAGTTCACCATGAATTACTCAGGATGAAGACCAGGAGTTCAATATCGCTATAGGGCAACTGAGATCTGCGCAATACTCTTTTTCATTATAACAAAGCGTTTTAACTCACGGCTGTCATCTTCACCGCTACTGAATTAAAGACTTCGTATAGTTGGTATAGGCGAGGATGCGGCAGAGTAGCTAGCTGATTACAGTAATGTTAAACACCTAATTTACTTTGTTAAAGTAGTCATTAGAACATGCAGAAATCTATATCAAGATTCACTTGTTGATCGTAACATGCACAGAATAAAAAAAAACTCAGTACTCACTGCAGTGAGTGACAGAGAGTGCATTTTCTCAAAATTGACGAAAACGTGAAGTCACGGACAGACGGACGGACAGACGGACGGACAGACGGTCGGACGGACGGACAGACGGGCATGACGAGCACAATAGGGCATTTTTTCCATTAATGAGAAAATGCTCTAAAAACTAACGACATGAAATAGTTCAAGTTTAATTAACTTGTAACCATGCGTCTGTTGTTAGAGAAAAATCTAGGTATAATAATACGATGAAACTCAATTTAATATGACTAAAATTTTGAAGCTATTCCATTTTATGTTTACAATATGGGCGAGAAATGAATGGCTGGATGAGTTGCTGTACCGGCATCACTGCACACACAACGCAACGCAAGAAACGAACCAACACTCCAGCGTATTCAAAATTGTATAGTCAGCGTATATAGTGCAGTAGTTATGGTAAATTCTGTGTAAGTAGATGAATGGACTTGAAAACATTCTAAAACGTACACACTGAGCTTGCCTGCCTTCAAGCAAATGATCAAGTCACAGGTCACTTCTCGTACGTCTCAACGCAAGTGGCATGAAACACTTTCGTTGAAATTCTCAATATACGAACCTTTCAAGAATATCACGAGCAAAAACCACTCCAGATTTTACAATTTTAATCAATTCAAATAACTGCAGCACATGAACGCTGCAAAAGAACAATCAAGAAAACAAATGAGAAACATATTTCATATATTCCATGTAGCTTTGATTTGAAGATATGTCCGTGCACGTTCTTCCTCTGACAAAACGTATGGTGATCAACCAATGGTAAGGGAGATCAAAAAATATTTATCAAAACATATACACCGTTAGAAAATTTTGGAACTAATAAATGATTAATCAGGCATTAATTAGAACTTTTAATAATACCAGCAATTGACTAACTAGAGAGCATTTGTTCTTTAGCGACTAATCCTGTATAATCTAAACGTAGAAAACGGCGAGCAGCTCAATTGTAGATAAATATGAGGACGCATGTATGCAGTTGGTGTCTGGTCTCGACGGCGTACGACAGATGGAGTAGATGACGGCGGTCTCGACGGCGTACGACAGATGGAGTAGATGACGACGGTCTCGACGGCGTACGACAGATGGAGTAGATGACGGCGGTCTCGTGCTGGCACTGCAGCTCGAGCGTCAGCTGCAGGCGCTGGTAAATAGTGTACCAGCTGTGCGCCACTTATATATTGAGGATTGAAATCTCGCTTATAAAAATTAAATTCATAATGAAAATTGCAAGCTTGAATATGAATTTCAAAGCAGTAATCCATGAAGTTTTCAATAAATTCGTGAGCCTCCTACGTGCCTTGTGAATGCGTTTCACACAAATGAAGCATCATCGCAACCAGATGTAAATGTGCTTCTATCGTAACTTGCCACCTAAAATGCGACGATGAAACTAATAAACTGGGCACCAAATAAATAAACTTAATTGATTAAAAATCTATTAAATATCCAAGAGGCCGAGAAGGCGAATTTACTTACTTAACAAACAGATAAATTCAATACAATCAAGAATATTTTTAAACATTTGCACTCTCAATTAAAGTTGATACGGATGAAACGACGCAAAATAAATCACGAACAACATTTACGTTTCACTCGAAATATTATAATAGTTACAGTTTATTAGAGGCAGACGATTTCCATATATTGGTATCCAGATAGAGCGAGGCAATTAATCACGAATAAATGAATTAGTCGAAAACCAAAACATTTTAGACTGTTTACCCATACATCAAATCGGTTACATGTGTGTTGTTCTAGATGAATTGATCTCAATCAATTTTAGATCACATTAAATGAAGGCAAACGACCACTACAAGATAAGAGCCAATTGGCGATAATCCGCTGGATTATCTGCATCGCATCTACCATCTCGAGATCAATCATTTAATTGTAGGCTACGCATTAGGCGGAACAAAACCAAACAATCTTAGAAATTTTAATCAGTTATGAAATGTAAAATTAACGGAAATTAGGTATAAACACTTAGAACGTACTTGATCGTTGCAGTTATTTATTTCAATGCTATAGAATACATAAAAGATTATTAATTTCAATGCGATAGAATACATAGAACATTATTTATTTCAGTGCGATAAAATACATAGAACATTATTTATTTCAGTGCTATAACATACATAAAAGATTATTTATTTCAATGCGATATAATACATAAAACAATACCGGTATTTATTTCAATGCGATAGAATACATAAAACGATTCGATTTTCATTCATATTTAATAAGATGGAAATTCATTATTAATTTTTAAACAGAAATTTGGCGACACATGTTGATCGAAATTATGCGTGGGCGTTGTTAAGTGGGCTGGCTCGTCCAATTATAAGCAACGTCAGGTCATTCATGGGCCAATTAGAAGACAACGAAAAAACGCAACGTCTCCAGAGCAGGCTTATGGACGAGCACCGCAGGTACAAAAAATATACGATAGATCCTAGCTTCACCCGAAGCCCACAATCGGAAGTTCCACAAGTCGAAATGTTTTCGAAGGTCGTTCGAAAAATTCAGTATCGTTTACAGTTCGGAACAGCGAGCATTAAACGCTCTTAGCAAAGTTTCTAAGCTCCAGCTTGAGACGTTAATATCCAGTTTTATTTGCCTCTTAGATAATGTCTACGAACAGGTAAGTTAACATGTTCACAACTAAGTCAAAATATTTGTCACTCATGGAGGGATACGACGATCTAAATGAACGCACGTTCAATGTACGTTAATTTTCACAGTGGGCGACTCTCTATAGGGGATTGATTTTCATTGAAAAATAACTGCGCTGACGTCATATTCGTTTTTTTTACGACAAGAGAAAATATTTTATTAAATTATACTCAGAGTTAATTGTCGTTCAATGAACAATGAAGTGTTTTCAGGAACGAACACATAAGATGCGGCTCTTGAAGGACAAATCCCTTGAAATACACATTAAATTCATTAACATTTTGAGATTCGTCTGAAATGGTGGATTTGTTTCGGCGGGAGGGAGGGAGAGAAATTATTGAACATAATAATAGTTCTTTGTTATTCTGACAGATAACCAGACAAAACCGAAAATTTAGAAAGTATAATTCATTCATTTATAAAACTGGCTTTAAATTTGCTCTGAAATTTTTTATTGGTACATAGGCGAGCGCGTGGATGAATTCAGTCGCTTCATCGCTGCACATATCCACAATAACACATAAGGATTCATTTTAAAGTTCACTTAACTTAGCGCGAGTTTATTATATTGTTTCTTTGTCAGCTTTAGGTTTATTTTCAACAGGTTTAAACAAAGTTAATGTTTTCGTTAATGGGCCCTTGAGTATGACATGCATCACGTTTCTCGGAGACTGCGCTATGTATAGGCAAGTTTTATAGACAAAATATTTGAATGAAATTGTCAGCAAAAGCTTTGTAGGGACCACCGATATTCGTTATTCCTTTCCTCATTCATTTTTCTCAAATAATTAGCAGCCAGTCTATCATCCGAACTTCTGATAGATTGACTTTTTTTTTCTTCATTAGTTTAGTTACTAGTCATTCAGTCATTTCACTTCAGCTTTGCCCACTAACGTTTGAAGGCAAGACCTTCAATAGCTTTTGTTGTATTCATATCATTTGTTTTGTTTTCCTATAGTATTCTTCATTTAATCCGTGTAATTTAAAACGTGCTATGCAATTAGGCTTATCAGAGTTTGTTTATTCAACAGCTAGGTGCAAAATTTATCTTGGTCACAAATGCACTGTTCATGACATCCGCTGGTTAATTACTCATAGGGTTCCCTATCCACATTTACCTAGCTTATAGCGGTACCGGTATGCCCGCAATAGCTCTACTAGCAGCAATTGGGGAAAAATTCAAACCCTTACAGTAAAAACGATCCAAATCATAGGCAGTAGGCTGCCTATCATTTTTTTCTAATGTCGCTCAAATGTAATCTCCAGCACTTACTCATATACATTTGTTTATAATGCATTTTCCTGCAGTATGATGACATGCATCCAAATATATTGATAAAACTAAAATTTTGCCATCAGATCAAACACGAGCCAGGGAAATGAAAATGGCTCTTCCTATCCTAGTGAGGGACACCCGAGTGCATCGAACACTGCCAGTCAAAATTCATACTCGAGTGCGAGTTCGTCACCGAACTTCAATGCGGCGGAAGTTGGACGCGCTTCTTCATCTGCGACAGGTTTATTCGTAAGCCCAGTTCTTCACCCGTTGCGCGAGAATCCAGGAAATTATTCACAGTTGGTCCCTTCCTCCGAAGCTGTCGTAGGCTCCTACGACTCGATTGCTTTGGACCATTCATATGGGCAGTCACCACACCCACCGATGACATTGACTTCTCACCAAAGTGGCTCAGTGATGGACAGATGGATTTCAAATCACTTTCAACAGCTGAATCAACGTTCAGCGGAAGACGCAAGACCCAACCGCCGACGACTTTGCGCTTTGCAGCGCATTTCAGGGGCCAGCTCAAGCCGGCACAACCAAGAACCCCAATCGATTCAGCATGATTCTTTGAACCATTTTCAAGCCTCATTCTCTTCAGACGATACGATGCATGTTGATGGTGGAAGCTTGAGTACTACGGCGCTACCATACCCGACGAGACTGGCCGGAAGAGATACACCGTTGAATTTCGTGGACATTCGGATTGCTGCATTAAGAGTGGCGGGCCTGTTTCCGGAACGTTGCGTACTAGATAGTGATTGGCCAGAAAATGATGAGTCTGTGTCAGTAACTGATCGCATTAGCAATAGAAGGCAAAATTTAACGAACAGGTCTGGTGCTTTCGAACAATCAGAAGATAACTTAACAAATCAAACCATAAATGAAACTGATTCGACGGTCCCACAAGTTAGGTTTGGTGAAACGGCTAACAACTCTCCCAATAGTTCCACTTCAGATCACTGTAATATTTCATGGGATGATGGAATGAGCCCTTCAGGATCTCCTCCATCATATATCAACTTTGTAAGCGACGATAGTTACTCCACAATCTGGCCAGGAGACCGCAACATGGTTTCAAATGAGCCGCCTCCCACTGTCAACGTAGACTCCCCCCACGCAGAATATCAAGAAAGTTCGATTGATGTTGAACTGAACGAAGCTCAACAGAACGAAAATGTCTACGGCCCGAGTAGTGATGAAAGCAGTAGTGAAATTCCTTCCTTTCCATTCCGACCTGAGCCCCACGAGTCTGAAGACTCGCACGAAAATTCCTATTATTACGGCATATTCCCCCAGCCTGTTGCGCCCGCTCCATCTCCGGTGGGTGTTGAAGACAACGACTCGGCTTTTCAGGATGACGCGCCAACATTCGAAGAATTACAGCACGCATTTGAAAATTCTAGGGCTATCATTGAACCTACGGATGAAGAGGTTCATATAAATCACTCCGAAGAAACGCTGGCAGCACGCAGGCGAGCCCAAAACATTTTACTGCGACCAAACTACCAATATCGTCCTTACCCGGAGGCAAATCTGGAAGAGGGTTCAGGCACGACAACAAGCCAACCCCCTTGCAGCGTTTGTTATGAAATTCGTGACTACGCAATCCATGAAAACTGCCGCCATTCCATCTGCGTTGCGTGTACCATGAAGCACATAAGGTAAGAACTTTGAATTACTTAACCTTAACGGAGTATTTTATGATATAGGTATATAATATAATATAAATGATAAATCGTTAGTGTGTAATAATATAATCTCTGAAAACGTAATAAAGCGTAATACTTTATATCTGACTGAAAATCAAGGTTGTAAATTCAAACAATACAAAGGTAAATGGGTGTTGTAAATGGGAAAAATTAATGAAATAAATTAAGACAAATTTAATAAAAAGACTACCATGTTAAAATGAATCAATGTCAATACTACATTCATTAGTCTGTAATTAATAGCAAAGCTCTATTTTAGTTGGCATTCAAGAATGTCTGATCAAAGTTTCCGTCCGCTGCTGCAGGATGCGTGGCGACCAAGTCTCGTGTCCCGAGTGTCGCAGGGGGCCGTGGCACCTGTGGGGGGCGTCCAAGGAGTACCTGCACCATGGGTCCTCCGCCAAGAAGAAGCTCCTCGACAAGGAGGTGACGAGAAGGATTAACCTCATGCTCAGGATGCTCGACGCCCACGAAATGGAACGGTAAATAATAATCTCAACTCTATCAATCTAGTATTGACATTACATCCAGCAATGATCGCAATATTCGATAGCAAATTTGAATATGAATCGAAAAATGTGCATAAAAGCAACCGCCGTACGTATTACAATAGTTTCGACAGTTTAATACTAGATTATCATTTTCACAAATTGTCCAAATTTTTCAGCAATAAAACATAAAACAATTACACTCTTTTCAGCAAAGAGTGTAAACATGAAATTAGGAATTTTTAATGATAAATTTTAATTCTAATGTCCGTTCTTTTCCTTCCAGAGCAACGCACTTCTTGGGCGACGTGCACGCCAATCGTAGGACGTGGGCCACGCAGGGATGGATGTTGATGTGAGTACACCGTCCATTAAGACGAATGATGCGTCTTGTGCAATATAAAACGGGTCTAGAGCTCAAATTACTGAAAATTAATTGCTGCGATTATCGAGAAAAAAATCCCTGGAATAACCCTATTGCACTGTAGGAATAGAAACGCTTGAATTTCTGTACAAAATAGATGAATTCCAGTAGATTTTTCCTAACGATGAAGATAATCAGATAGATTAATGGAGATTTAGTACGCGACGAAATCCATCAAATTGAGCTCATACAAAAGTTGTTCACCGGACGTGTTCAAAATTTCTCGATAAACCAAATTTTAAAAAATTATTGAAACTATATATAACTGATAGTGTTCTTCCCACGAAATTTAGAACAAAGTACGCGAAAAAAGCTTCCTATCTTTCTTATCCTATTAAGAGACTATGAGTGAAGCAATTAATGTTTGTTGTGCAGGAGGTTTGACCAATACGAAGCAAGCCTAGCAGCGCTGCAGCAAAGCAGAGGAACAGACGACACAACTGCTCCGTAACGGCTCCGTAGCGGCCCTGCCGTACCAGGCAAACTGTCCACTGCCCCGCACAAGACATTCCAACTAATACAGACACATCTGATATACCGTATGCCCACAATCCAACAGATGTCCCAGCCGCTACGATGCAACTGTTGGCTGCCACTTTTTGCCCAAACCCTGAAACTGCAGCCCAACAGCAACCAAAAAATTGGAAGAGAAACTTCAATCAGTTTGTATACAAATACCTGAAAATACCTGAACTTCGTTCCGCGGTACTCGTTTACATACTGTATGTAGCAATAGTACCGGTAGATAGTAAACATGAACTAGATCAGTTCTAAAAACATGTATAATGTGCAATATAATGTGTAAAACGTGTATAATGTACATACTTCTAAACGTGTTTAATGTGTAATAAAGACCTTAGGAGTTCTTAATAATGATGATCAACGATCAATATCGTGTTTAATTATACACTTAACCCTACAGCAGTCGCGGAGATTACATAGGTAATACACGTCTGCGAAAATCGACCTTAAAGGAAACCGATTTGGTCTGTTTCTACACTCGTCAACTGCAGGTTAAATCTTCTGTACAATTCGTTTGCCAATTGTACTTAATTTCAAATGGGAAGAAAATCGGGTGATGCTCATCTTTTGATTTTAGTTTTTGGCGGAAAGATTTGCTCATTTAGAAGAGTTTGATTGAAGACCAGAGAGTAGTTTTATTTATATTCTTCCCCATGGCATTCCCAAAAAGTCTAAACTATATTTTTCGTATGCATTGGTAGATTGAACATCAAGTTTCCGAATTAAATTTTTACTATTTTTATAAAATATCGAATTATCAACATTAACTAAGTGGGAACTGAAATTTGGATTGATACAAGCTCAGAATGTTGCATACGTATAGTTTAGCATTCAATAAATAAGATAATGCTCGAAAAAATAGCTATATCACAAAAATTATCCCGATAACAGTTCCTCATACAACCGGAGGCCCATACTCCGCTATCGCAAATCCAGTGCATGGCGTCGAGGCACCGCATGACAATACTGGTACTTTCGTCTAGTACCGTGCGAGTGATGGTCTCGTTGTGGGCCTCCCTCAGGTGACTCCTTGGTCCTCCAAACTGAAGGTGGCACGTGAGAATTTGGCTTAATGATGTAGTTGTGAGCCAGATTATCTATAGACATGACAATTATTTCCCATGGTCTTCATATCCGCGAAGAAAGTACAGCTACGTTGCTAGGTGCACTTGTTGCCCGTTCAACTATATAGAATAATTTACTACAAGGTTTTTATGATAAGCTATTAGAATTATAATATGAGAATAATATAAATATTCGGTTGATATATAATATACATAAATATTTAAACTATGAAACTCATCCCTCAGAAACGGGGGTCGGAAAATGGATACAAATTTACCCTTAGGAGTCGAGGACAGAACTCGAGATGTCGATAAATTTTGGGGTTGGAAGGAGACCGATCAAGTGGCAGGTTGGTTTCATTTAATTGCAGTTCATAACAATTTCCAAACAGAAACTTTTGCTAAATTTTACATACGTCACAGTTCTTAATTGATAGGTGGGTAAACTTTTGTCCGTTTGTTCATTACTTGGTCCCAAGGCATACTGCCTCGTTATTTATTTCGAAAGACTGCCTCATGATTTTGAAATATCTCTTCTAACTAAGGAAAGCTACAACGTAAAATTGTTTTTTTTTTCTAAAATTTAAAATTCGGAAATATCGATAATAATTTAATTTTAATGTATTTGTATGAATATGTGCCCGAAAAGGGCCAATGTAAATGCAAATCACACGCAAAATTGGACAGGTAAACATTTTCGACCCCGCAGCTCCCGGAGATAACGGTAAATTTTAACGTTTTTGGGAATGTTTTCTGCATCGCAGCCGAAAATACGTTAGCCACTATAACATATTTGTGAACATTTTCGGCTTTCTTTTGTAACGTTGAGTTTAATTTTTTTTAGTGTGAGAATTTGCTCGCCAAGTGCAAATGATTCGTCAGTCGTAAATTATTGTTTAAACAATATTGACAGAAATGATTTTACTTCGAGCTGCCAGCTGCAACCTATGGAGGATGACTTGCTGAAATTATCATGCATATAAATTAGTAAGCTTCGTTAATTTCAAAGTGCCTTCATTAATGTAAGACACTCTTGATGAAAAATCAAGCTCATAATGTTACTGACAATGCAGGCGATGTAACAGCGTCTTGGAGAATTTATCAAATGTATGGAAATATTACCATAAGAACAAATGTCATTTAATCTTGAAAAATACTTGATACAGGTCTTCTTGTAAGGACATTAACGACATTCAAGCCGTTCCATAAAATTGGATCAGTTCAGGAAAGAAAAATAAAATTTCACGGGAGTATCAATAGAAGATATAAATAGTTATATTGCCACGAATAAATTAAGACATCGCGAATTGATCGCCTAAATACGATAAAGGTTCTAACTGTTTTTAAATACGATTTTGAAACAAAAAACAATATTTTTGAAAACACATTAGATCACGTAATAATTTGACCAAGCAGGACAATAATTATTGGGAACGATCATCGACCAGCGATGATGATCCAATAATCAAGCATGATTTATGTCGCTGGACTTTTGCGTTACTCGATTAACGCTCAGCGCCATCATATAGGCTCCTGTTGCGTATATCTGTAGTGGCACCAGAGCATTTGGTCGCTCGCCTGCACCTTCATTCTGGCGTGGTGATACGTACACAGAATATTCATTGAATGTGTGATGCGTGGTGACGATACGTACACAGAATATACATTGAATGTGTGATGCGTGGTGACGATACGTACACAGAATATTCATTGAATGTGTGATGCGTGGTGACGATACGTACACAGAATATTCATTGAATGTGTGATGCATGATGACGTTGCGCAGCCTTTCGTTTGTATCGCTCCAATCACTAAGTACAAGCAAGTCAGGATAACCGAAAATGATTCTACAAAAATTATCAGAGGCCCTTGAATAAAAAAATTTCATTAAAATAAAAAAATTTCATCAAAATTAGTTTCTTTAAATCGGGACATCGAAATAAAAATTCTGAAAAAAAAGTGGAGTCCTTATAGACTAGCGATAAAAAGGAGTAAAACAAAATCTCGATCTTGACAGATATAAAAGTAATGCATTTATATTTTATTCTTTGATATTGAATCAAAGAAATCAAACAATAAAATAAAGCGTTCAAAGCGGGCGGTTCACAGCGATACAACATAAACGAGAACTCGCTCTATATCTGAATTTGAATAGCTTATGTTCTCTTTCAACTTTCGATCACGAGATTAACAGGTTTAAAATAGTCTTCAGACACATGGTTTCGCTCAACAGTCAGATTACTGTAATCCGCATGTCCTTTGATAGCGTCCCGGGTGTTGAAATACGGCTTACGTTTCGTTCATACCTATAATGTTTATTCCTGTTGCCCATACTTTTTCTTTGACATCGAAAAACGCATGGATTTTTTACCAAAAAAAAAAAAAAAAAAACGCAAAAACCTCGCCCCGAAGTTCAATAAAAAAATAGATAAGAATATATTAAATAAATAAATATTATTAAGGAATAAGTTATGTTTCGATGTAATTAAAATTTCCCGGATTTACTCACCTTGGCCATTAGGAGAAGAAGCGTCTTTCAATGATAGCTGCTCAGCTGCTGCTGCTGGTACATCTTCCACTTCCGACATGATCAGGCACGCTTGGTTTCGCCTTGCTCCAACTAAAATTTTTTCAGTTATTACCAAGAACTATTGTTACCAATCAAATAAATTATTGCGAAAAATGTTTTTGAATGCCAAAGTATTGATTTTAACGCCCAACTGCAAGCACTTCTCGGTCTGAACCTTTCTTCTTTGCAAGTAAAGCGGAACAGCTGAGTCAATGAAGCGTATCAACAAAGCAATGATTCGTTTTGATATCTAGCAAGTTAAACTCTTTATCTATCTATAAAGCTGCTTAAAGTCATTTCTATAAATTTGTTTTGGAACGAAAAGGGATTCTTCAATCTTTAAAGGTTGTGAGAGTTGTTAAAAATTGGATTTGATAAGGCTCATGGGCCGTCGATAGTTCCACGAGATCAAATTGTAGATTTCAGTAGATAATTGTAAAAGTGGAATATATAATAGGAATATTTACTGAAGGTCGAAAACTTCATTAATAAATTTAATATTTTACGCGTTATCTACGTAACTGGTTTTTTGCTTAGTGAGCATTGAGAATTCGCCAAACAGTAATATACTTCACGCAACAGAGAGGTTTTGACACTGGACACAAAAAAGATGACGTTCGATCCTTCGGTTGAACTAAGTTTCAAAAGAATTGCGCAGAAAGTACGGAGTACTTACAGTAACATGGAAATTGCTTAGTATTCATAGTATTCAAAAATGTGAAGTATTCACTATGAAGCCGTGTCAATGTTGGTAAGCAAAATGTTAGTTACTTGCAAATTTTGTGTGTATCCACCTAGCATAAAAGTTACATAGCAACACTATTATTTAAACCCATCTAATGCTGGGATCATTCCTATCCAACTTTGAATATCACGCAAAGTTAGTGACGCCAGAGGACTCGGGAAAGACTACGTAGTTGCCAGCCTTAGCCTACAGAAGAAGATACAAGTTCTCGCGTGGTGAAACCAAAACGTGTATGAACTATTCAACTAATTCGCTGTAAAGTGTATAGTATATACACCCGCTCGATGTAGCTGCTCTCTATTCACAGCAAATACACGTGAATATATTATTTAACGAAAAGACAGTTTCACCTCTGTGTTACAATATTGTCAGACATGAATTTATGCAGAAAGAACTAAAGAGGAACGCTATATTGATTCGTTTAAATTATGAATTATTCAAGTTAGAGCATTCATACTTTTTAACAACTTCAAACAAATCCTTAACCAACTACACGTTCTTGAATGAAGGACAAGGAGATGATTGAAAAAAAGCTACGCCTGACGACATTTAATACTGAGGAAGAGGAGGATAAGCAATGATTGATTCAGCTGGCACAGCAAGGGCGGTGCCACTGCCACGGCAGGCCATGCGGAGCGGCACTAACCTACCAACACAAGAGCTGCAGCGGCACTGCCGCTCTCCTTGCCCTTACGAACTTCCCGCTCTCGCTACTTGGGGGCGCGTCCTCTTCACAG